AAAAAAAAAAAAAAAAAAAAATACTAATTTTTTTTATTAATGACATGTCGAATAATAGTGTTGTGCATTTATTGGGTTAAACCAACTATTACTATAATCAATGTCACCTGTTTCTTTTTACCTTTTTAATATACTACTAGAAAATTTTAAATTATATGCATGGCTCGAATCTGTGGTTTAAATTAGATTTCTATTGGACCACTGTGGTCTGACATGTTTAAAGATGGAAAACTCCAAGACAGTGATCCTGTTGAAGGAGTTTGTTCACACAAAAATAGACTCACACAGAGGCTGATCAAAACTAAAAATACAGCGGGGTAACTTCTGGAAAACACTTTTCTAGCAACTTGAAGTAAAAGTGAGGAATTCAAGCAATCGTGACTGCTGTTTTCATCAATACAGGGATTCTACACTACCTTCAATTACGTTTCCAGTGAGGGGGCCAAGCAAAGATGGTACCTCACACCTAGCACTTGCCACTCCAGTGCCCTACCAGGCCCACAGTTTGTGCCCAACCACACATGCAGCAGGACTCCGTGCAGTGGACTCCACCAGGGCTGGCACAGGTGACCCATTCCACAGAGGTCACTGGAAGTCAACTAAATAATGAACCTGAAGATAATGAAAACATAAGCAATGACACACAGCACCTCTGTAGCACATCACAGTGATTCATCTGGTCCAGCACCTCTCAAACTGACTTCGATTCCCAAGAGTAAGTGTATTTCACAATATAAGCATGCACCTGAGGAAATAAGTTTCATGAAACGATACTTACCTCTACCCTACGCTATGTCTCTGTTACATTTATTTTTGTCCCCCTGTTCCTATTCTGCTCTTTTTAAAAAAACTGACTGTGATTCATCAAGTTGATTCCACAACCATCAATGGATGGTGATTTGAGGTCTAGTCCTGGTATGCTAATTCAGAGGTTCACTCAGATTTTCACTGGTGTTAAATCACTGCGCCTCTTTCTCTGGAACAGGGAAGAAAGAGTCCAGTGACGGGTTCAGAATCTTCCTCAACATAGTGATCCAAGCTGCTACAACCAGTGCCTTGAGATGAAACTCAGAAACGAAACCTATTTATCACTATTCTTGATCTAACCCAAAGTAGTAAGTTTAGGAACAAAAACATATTTTCTGCAGCTCTCCAGGAAAAACTGATCTGCCCAAGGTCACAGAGCAAGACTTTTTGCGAGCCAGGCCACTTCAAAACACAAAGCATCTCAAGAACACAGAAAAGACTGAAATTTCCATACAGCCATGAAAAGTCAGCTTATATACATCCTGAAGTTCTCATTACCCACCAAGGAGAGGATGTAAGGATTTGGGAGTCAGCAGAAACTATTCTGAAATTGGAGGAGTTTTAAATTTTTTCTCAAATCAAATAGCTATTGTTTATCTTCTAGGATCAGGGAGAGGTGAGCATTATATCGACTGGCCACCTTGTCAGGCTCCTTCTACAAAAGCAAGCGCCCCTATTCAAGTTCACCTCTGTGCAGGGCTCAAAGCATGTCAACCCTTTTCCCCAGCTTGATTCAGTCAAGCTAGAAAGCAGGCCCTTATTTCAAACCTTATTTTTAAAAAAATTCTTTAGGCAGGAAAGCAAAACATTAAGTAATAAGAGTTTCTACTGTGAAACTGAGCATAAATGATCTTTCACCAAAATAACTCAGACCATCATCAAATTACCACTCCTTAAGTCCAATTTGCCAGATCTTTTGCCCTATAATATAACAGAATGTGCTGAACAGACAGAGGCTCATAAAAATTAGCTCTTATATTCATTGTTGGTCATAATTCCATCTAAAAGACACAAGAGACACACAGTCCAGGTCAAATCTCAATCCAGAGGCACCAATAGAAACAAAAGGGAGCTAGCTCCGCCCCCACCAGGACCATCATGCACTTCTACTTCCTTTACAACAAACATGATCAGAATAACCAATTCAGTGGAAGGCAAAAAAAAGGTCTACACAAACAGAAATGATTTTCAATTTCTAGCTATGGATTACTTTCAAGCCATAAACAGAACAAAATTTCAGCAGAATAAAATTGGAAGAAATCTGAATTGTATGTCAAGAGATTCCAGGTCACATAAAGGCATGGGCTACAATATTTCTGTTTCTTGTACCAGAAACAATCTGTTAGCTATAGTTCTTTTTCTCAGATGCCCCTACCCTATCCCACCATCCCCAGTCCAGTCCTCTTCCATCACAGCTAAACTCAGGCTTACTATCTCATGAGGCCTTCAGAGCTCCTTGGAAATTATAAATTCCTTGACTGTCCTAGGTATCGGCCTAAATAATTCAAAAGGAAAAAAAATTTTAATTATGCTACTTAAAAAAAAAAAGAGAGCTCATTCCTAGTATGTCAGAATGTGGCCAGTCAGCCCTGAAGGATTTCATTACTCAAAAAAAAAAAGAAAAGAAAAAGAAAAAGAAAGAAATCCTCCCAAATGCAATGGCAATGATGAGAAACGTCAAATCTGTGCCACTGTCAAACATATTTTACAGAATTAGTATCTCCTTAAAAACCCAATTTCCATAAAACAAGGTGAGAGGCTAGGGACTGGGGCCACAAATTCTTCCAAGACCAGCTGGAGAGGCTGGTCACAGGAGTCCACATTCCCTCTTTCAGCACTGTGACCCACCATGAGCTCCCTCCTGGAAGTCCCACACAATCTCGCTCAGCAAATAATACAATATACTCTTTCTGGATAGAAAAATAAGAACTTTCTAAAAAAAAAAAACAAAACATTTTTTTGGCTCAAAATCCACAGCAAATTCAATCCAGATTTTAATGCATCATAAATTAACCTTCTTTTTTGGATAAGAACCTTTTTTCCATTTGTCACAATTCAATTCAGTCAATATTTGTCTTCTGAAAAAAAATTTTTTTTTTCCTTTTCTGTTTCACCTTCATTTGATTCACTTTAAGACCAAAAATGCCATATGAAATACTATTTGTACAGATGCTTTCATATTCCAAAGGCAAGAACCTTTGGATTCGGCTTTTGTTTGTATTGATTTTTTTTTCCCTTTAAAAAAAATAAATTTTGCTGCCAGAATCAGCTGAGTTGGTGGTTTAACTCATTTCTCCAACTAAGTGTTTCACCTGGTAAGAATCAGAATTTTGCTCTCTTTCTTCTTCTTTCTTTCTTCTTTTCTTAAATTGGAAAAATTTATGGTTTTTTATTTGTTTTTGCTGTTGTTACTGTTTTTTGGGTCACAAATTCCCCAAAATGATCAAAGCTAATGGATTTTTTTTCCTCCCTTTGAAAAATCAAATTTTTTAAAAATACAAAATGTTAATAAATTACCAACCCCACACCACAATCAAAAGGCCTGAAACCAATCTGAATTTAAAAAATAATAATACATTTTTCAAATTAGAAGACTGAATAAGACAGAGAAGAGAAATTTTTTTCCCTTACCAAGGATTCCTCAATCCTTGTCTTCATCAATTGATTCAGCTGCATGTCATAAAAAATGGGCTTCTGTGAATCCACTGTTAGTTTTTTCATAATAATGTTAATTATGCATATCTTATTTTAATGGCGGTCTCTCATACAAATCTGTGAGCTACTCAATTTGTATAATATGTGAATTTACATTTTTTCCACTGAATATTGCTCAAAAAAGGTTCCTGACATTTTCTGGACAAAACAACAACAGAAAAGAAATGCTTAGATCCTTCAGGAAACAAAATCAGAAAACAGTCTTAATTATTTCATCAAAACAAACAAACAAAAACCACACACACAAACCCCAACAAATCCAGAAAAAAGAAACACAGGATTTCACTCTAACTTTTCCAGCTTCTGTTTTTTCTTTAGAATGTTAGGATTTAAATGCAGTAAAATGTAAATGAAAAAATTTTTTTAAAAACTACAATTTTTGGGTGTGTCCAAAGCCAACACTTTAGGTCTATTTTCTCTTTAAATCCTTCTTTCTTGGAAACAAAATTACTTTAAATACTTCAAAATGGTAAAATTAGCAATTTTTGCCCGCTGAGCTAAACAAGTTCCAAATTACAATGAAGTGCAATTTCTAATTGCTTCATAAAGCCAATTCTCCCAGTTTTCTCTAAACTCAACAATTTCCGTCCTTTCCTCATTCTAATTAGTTTTTTCCTCAAACTAAAATGCGTTGGGTGGCTACACTGACTTTGCTTTTAGGAGGTTTTTTGCTTTTTCCTCTTCAAGAACTGAATTCATTCAAATTCCATCTTAATTTTTATTTACATACTATCTGGATTTGTCTTCGGAAATAAAAATTTTCTCCATGCTTCTGCAAAGATCAAAGTGGAAATGTTCACCACCAAAAAGAAAATAAAAAAGAATCCCTTTCCCTCCTACTGCCTTGTAGAGTAAACTTTTGAAAAAATAAGAAATAAAAATATTTCTGTTCAATTTTAATTTCTTTTTTTATTTACAAAATAGTATCCTCTAGGTGGCGTTGTTTTAATGGGAAAAAACTACCGTTTGAAGAAAAATTAGAAAAAAAAAATTGAGAAAGGGAAATATGGCCTAAAAAAAAAAAGATTGTTGCAAAGATGGGGGGCCTGGTGGGAAAGCTCTCCCGAAGGGGGTCACCGGGGACTGCGATCGCTGAGAGGGTCAGGGGGAAATTGCAAATTTAGGGGGGAGGGGGGAGAACTGGAAGGGGTTGCATTTTTGCAAAATGTGAATTGTCCAAACTGAAATGGCTGCTCTGTTCTCTCGCCGCTTTGTTTTCTGGGCTCCGGTCCGAGCCTGGGGCTGGAGGGGGCGCCGGGTGGGGAGCCCCGGAAAGACACCCCTCGCCGCCCCCGCCCTCCCCACACCCCGCAGGGCTCGGGGGGGTTCTCCGGACCCCAACCCTCCTGTCTGCGCCCACAAAAAGCCCGCAAACGCGCCCGGGCACTTTGCATCCTGCAAAGCCGGCGCTGAAGTGGCGCAGCCCGGGCCGGCCCCCGGGGTCCCCCGCGCGGTGCTGCCCCCGGCCCCCGTTGTACCTGCGGAGCCGCCGCGCCGCCCGGCTGGTTCATGGGTCCGTGCGGGAGGAGGCGGCCCCGGCGCGTCCTGCTCCTCCCGGGCCGGGCTGCTGGTGCGCGCACAATGCCAGTGCCGCCGCCGCCGCTGCCGCCGCCGCCGCCGCCGCTCCCTCCTCCGCCCGCCCCGCTCCGGCCGGGGGGGCGGGGGCGCAGGGCGCGCGGGTGGGGGGCGCCGGTCCTCGCCCCCACCCCGGCCGGCCCGGCCGGCCACCGCCCCCGCCCCCGCCCCCGGCCGCCCTCGCGGGGCGGCCGCCGCCCCTCGCGCCCCGCCGCCCCCGGCCGGCCTCGCCGCACGGCCCACGAGCCCCGGCCTCGGCCTCGGCCTCCGGCGCCGCACACAAAGCCAGCTGCCCGGGGCGCGCCACTGCCCGCCCCCCAAACTTTCCCGCGCCCCCACACCTGCCCCCAGGCTCCCCACTGCCCTCCTCGGGTCCTGTGGCCCCTCAGAAATGTCATTTTCTGGTTGGGAAAAAAGTTTAGGGAGCCCGCAGTTGGCAGAACACAAAGGGTTAATGAAAACTCCTTACCCCCTACTCACCCCCCAAAAAAACATCAGATTGGTGTTTAAAATAAAAAGTTTTGCAAAGCGGGCCTTCTGGAGGCATCAGAAGTCTTACTTGGGAATATTCCTAGTGTCCCTGCCATCCCTACCAAATTCCTGGGAAATAAAACTTTGCAGAAGAGGCCCCATGTCAGACAAGAAGGGTAAGGGGTTCTCTCTAGTCAACCCCCCCATACATACACACCCCGATTTTTTAAATACGCAGGGAGGTGCTTTTATGTGCGGTGCTAGTGAACTACTATTTCTACCCACCCCTGCCAAATTTTAAAACACACGCGTTTTTTTGGTTTTTTGTTTTTACATTTAAAAAGGTGAAGAAGGATCAGCCTCTCCTCCCATGGCCCCCAGATCTGTGAAACAGAAAAAAAAAAAAATTGAGAAACTCATTCTATGAGAGCTAAAAGGCGAAAGAGGACATTTCTCTCCAACATTCTAAAGAAATAACAGTTTTAATTTGAGGAATTTGCCTCAAATTAAAATTAATTTGCCTCCATTTGACTTAGAAAGGATTATAAGAATTTTTTTCTATTCTCCTCAGTCTTATGTCCAAAGCAGATTTTCTTTTTCTTTTTCTTTTTTTCAATTGAAAGTGCAAAGGCCTGCCCTGTAGTGAGGCAAGGATTACTGAATCTTTTCTGCATCTTGCTCAACTGATTGATTTTTGGAATAAACAGTTGAAGAATTGCTCATCAATAAGATGACAGGTGAATAAAAATCTTTCTTTACTTCTAAGAGGAAACAGTAAGGATACTTTTAAAAATACAAGCATTGGAAATTCAGAGTAGATAAATGTCTTTTCTCTGCCCACATCTTAAAAAACATTATTTTTAAATTTAATTTTTAAAGAATTGGGTCAACATGAGACAGGAATGGTTATAGAATTTTTCCCCTACAACCTCCCCAAAGTTATTATTTTTTAACTACATACCCACTTTCCCTGAAGAGTCCATATGTGGGCATTTGGCCCTCCATAGGAGGAATGAATTAACATAAGTCTCACCCTTCCTAGCAAACACAGGCACACACACAAGAAGTTAAAAGAATCCTGTGACTACTTCCTCCAAACCCCCAAAAGATGAAGATAAATTAAAATTAAAAAGTGGCCATTTCTCTTCCCACCAGCCTGGCAAGCGTGTCCCTGGCAGAGGTTTGGCATCCCCTGCCAAGGCTGATGGGGTTTAGGCAATGAGGGAGCCAGAAGCCTGCAGAGTCTGGCAGACTTGGGCTCCTGGGAGCCCTGGGCATATGAGCTGCCAGGTAGCCCCCAGCATGCCAGCCTGTCATGCACCAGGTGGCTGGAGGCTTTGGTGCCTGGAGAGCTGCCCCAGGTTCAATGTCTCTCTGGCTCCATCCTTGAATGACAGTTTTCTAGCACCTACCTCGAGACCAGGCCCCTTCCTCTGCCTAGGCCAAGCCAGTAGGAATGACACCCGGCTGGAGGGTGACTAGAAGCCTACTTCCTCTCAGGCTCTTAATTAGATGGCAATGTCTTTCTACAGCAGGGATTCTTAGGATCCTTTGTTAGGTTCTTGGTTAAGTTTAAGGATTCATTAACTGCCCCTAGGCAAACATATCTACATGTACATTCTGGGAAAGGAAATCTTTGATTTCCACCAATTTCTCAAAAGGGTTCAGTGACCCCTCCCCCCCAACCTAGAATTAGCTGTAGCCTACCAGAGATTTCTGGCCTGCAAAGTCTCATGGTCCTTCTCAGCCTTCTCCTCCAGGAATAATGGCAAGCTCTCTAAATCCTCACCACGATGGTTCTAGGCGTTCTATTAACACACCTGGACAGAGTCTGAAGCTTTCAGCACCACCATGGAAAGGCGCTTTCCCCATGGGACCCAGCCCTAGAGAATATGTCCCTTCTTCACTGTGTTCCAGGTGAGCCCAGGAGGGTATGCTAAAGGGATAACAGCTCAGCTTGACATCTTTCTGACAAAATTCAATTTATAAATGAAGTCAAGTACCTGGGTATGTTGGCACATACCTGTAATCCCAGAAATTGGGAGACTGAGGCAGGAGAATCACTGGGAATTTATGGCCAACCTGCACAACATAGACCCTAACTCAAAACAAATAAAGCAAGCCACACATTACCCAAACCACAGCAAAAGGGAGCAATCACAGAGCTGATCGATCCCTGTTTAGGGCATTAACTAAGGGTGGATTCTTAACAAGCAGAAGTCGTGTGAAACTTTCAGAGTGTCCTGAGGACCTGCTCAAGAAAGTGCCTAGGTACTGTGCAAGGTGGCTGTGGTCCCATCGGATACACTGTGGTCTTATCTTAGCCCTTCATTTGCAGAGAACAGTAATGCCAAGACCAGCATTAAGAGACCCCAATCCATGTCACATAAACGACTGTGAGGGGAAGACACTGACAAACACTAGAAGAGCTCTGGATGGGGCGGGGGAAGGTGTGCAGGCAGCCAGTATGTTTTGTAGGAGCTCAGGAGGCAAGACATGCTCAGAGATAAAACAGCTTCCAGGATTTAGCATGACCAAGTGACCACTGATAGACCAAAACTCATGTTGGTGAATTTGTGGTCCGGTACAGACCTACAAAGGCTCTCCTGTGTTTTGAGGGTCTATAGCTCCACTTGTCATACCTGAATGATCAAATTCTGGAAACTTCTGCTATTTCTGTGCCCAGCCTACTGTCCCCCAAACACTTGCAAATGTCACAGTTAAGAGCCCAGCTCACGGGTCCTCCTCCCTCAAGCTTGGCACTGGACCTTACCTGCAAGATCTCAGGTAGACAGCTTCTCCTCACTCCTGTTCACTTGTTTGTACAATGGTGCTGCCATGTTGCCTGCCTGAGAGGCACTTGTGAAGTTTCTAGAAAGCACCTAGGACAGAGCAGTCCGTGGTCAGTCAGTGGAATTCCTACCCCTGCCTTCTGTCAGCTGTGAGCTCAACTCCTGGCTTAATGTCCAGGCCTTAGTTTCTGTCTCTGAGACATGTATCATTTTATCAGGCCCCTTTTAGTTGTTAACTGTAGAAACAAATTATACTTTAAAAAAAAGAAAATAAATAAATAAAATTAAAATATTATTTTGTTAAACTAGGGAGTAGATCTTGATACCCAAGGGCAGGAAATGAAATAAAGCCCTCAAGAAGTTCAAAGCAGGAACCAGAAAAGTTACAGAAACTAGGCTATTTCTTTCCACCACTCTGGACCGCAGGTCTCTTGACATCTGGTCCTGAATTCTTTCTCTCATTCTTTCTCATCACTCCCACACCCAATACATGTAGTCTCTGCCTCTCTGGGCATACAGTCAAAATGGCCACCCACAGGCCTCCTAGTACCAACAGGTGCTGATTGGTTTCTCTGGGCACCAATCCAAGCTCTCAGGAGAGGGAACGTGATTGGCCAATCAGGTGACACCAAAGCAGATCATGTGGGGCCAAGGGAGACAGGATCCCATAATGCACAGAGCCTCAGAGCCACACCTGATGGAAAGAGAGAGATACCATGCCCTCAGAGAGGATGTGCAGACTCCCTGAGGTCAGGGACATGAAGCTACTGGGGACCTGACACTTGGACACATTCTAAAGCTGCCTTTCTGCTTCCTAGAAGCTGATGACATTTAGGAAAATTGGGTCGAGAATTCTGAGGTGACAGACAGATGTCAAGCTTGTGTTATAGCAGAAGGAGTTGAGAGATGGAGCTGCCCCAGAAGAGACCTTTGGGTCCCAAACTGCCTGGGAGCTTGGCTCAAAGGTAGTAAAAGGACTTTGGTAGAAGATACTTTTAATATGAAACTGGAGGCGGTGAAGTGTGGAGTGTTGAAGGGCAAGGACTTGGCAAAAGCAATGTCTTCTACGACTGAGTGAGTTTTTTAATCCTCAGCATATGACATCATTGTCTCCAAGCCTGGGTTTTCATATCTGTTAAATGGGACTAATAACATGTGAGCATATTTTGTATGAGAATTAGAAAAAATACTGAATGCCAGCACATAGTGAGAATCCTAGACATTAGCAATAATGATGCTAATTATAGCAATATCTCAGTGGATTTATCTGCAAAACTTTCCAGGGGTGGAGCATGTCACAAATGATACCTCAACCCTAATCTCACCCAGTTGGGCTCCTCAGTTCTGTCCAGATGAGGAGAGCAGGCATAGAAAGGGACAACGGCATGGTTCTTTCTCCAGTGACCGGGTAGACCAACAGCATCTGCCCCTTGCTGGGATGAACCCAGAATGGACAGCACTCACATGGAATTCCTGCCGGAAGTGTGTAACCCAAATCTAACCATAATGAATGTCAGATAAACCCAGAAGGAGGGACAGACTACAAAATAACTGGCTTGTAGCCTTCACAAAGTACATTATGAAAGTCTGAAAGCTGCTTCCCATCGAAATGTATTAAGTAAATACACAGGACAATTACATGATCCTGGATGCTACAGTGAACCTACATCACCTTTTTGTTGTTGCTTTTGACTCATAGATTAGAGTGGGGGAAAATGATACAAAGAATACTTAGGGGACAATTGGTGAAATTTGATTATACATGATAGACTCTTGGGTGATAATAAA